GACAGCGCTGTGCCGCTGGCTCACCGAGTCACCCGGCCGTCACCCGGCTGCCGGCACGTCCTGGCCCCGCCACCGCCGCCAACATGGGCCTGTCCCCGCAGAACCGGAACCCCTTGGTGGCCGTGTACTACACCAACCGGGCCCTGTGCTACCTGAAGATGCAGCAGCACGACAAGGCGCTGGCTGACTGCAAGCGGGCGCTGGAGCTGGACGGGCAGTCCGTGAAGGCTCACTTCTTCCTGGGCCAGTGCCAGATGGAGATGGAAAACTACGACGAGGCCATCGCCAACCTGCAGAGAGGTGAGTGGGCATGCTGCCACTGTCCCCTGCTCCTGTCTGCTGGGAAGGGGCCAGGGATGGCAACAGGGACGCTGCCACTGGCTCTGAGGTGCCCTTTCTCTCCTCAGCCTACAACCTCGCCAAGGAACAGCGGCTGAATTTCGGGGATGACATCCCCAGTGCGCTGCGCATCGCCAAGAAGAAACGCTGGAACAGCATCGAGGAGAAGAGGATCAACCAGGAGAACGAGCTGCACTCCCACCTGACCAAGCTGATCGTGGCCGAGAAGGAGAGGTAACGGGGCACCTGGAAAGGCTTTTTTAGTGCCATCAGCTGTGTCTGAGGTGCCTCTGCAGAGCCCTGCAGCAGGAAAGGGAGTGACAATGTTCCCCCATCCTCCTGATCTCCCACTCTGTCCTAGGGAGTTGGCAGAGTGCCGAAAGATTCAGCAGGAGGAAAACACAGACGAGAGCCGGAGCCGTGTTCAGCTGGCCAGCATCGAGGCCAAACACGTGAGTGGGGGGCTGGGGGTTTCCTCATCCCCATCCTCATTCTCGTGCTGTGCTGCAGCCAGGGAAGCTGCAGGGCTGCAGCTGTGCAGGTGAAAGCTGGGAGACCTTGGGACACAGCACTTCATTCTATAGCTCGAGGCACCACTGTTGTGTCCCCCCATGATGGCTTCTCCTGCTTTGTCACCTCTTGTCCCAGCCTGGCAGTGGTGATGCCTGCTGTGCCTGTTGTTCTGAGGAAACACAAGTGGCTCTTGGCCACTCTGGGGACTGATCCCAGACAAAAATAAGCCCACAAAGAAAGATTATTTTTAAGCTAAATCACTCCTGCCAGGTTCAGTCAGGAGCTGTACAGGCAGAGGGGCCATCGAGGACCTGCCACAACACCCATGGGTGGAGGCTTTGGGGCTTTCCCTGGGGACCTGGAGCCCCTGCACACCAGGGACCCCTTGTCCTCAAGGGCTTCTCTTTCAGGACAAATACCTGGCAGATATGGACGAGCTCTTCTCCCAAGTGGATGAGAAGAGGAAGGTAAGTGTGGTCTGGCCTGTGCTCCTGTAAACCTGCTCTGTACCGTGCTCCCCCCTCTGAGCCAGTGCCACCTCCCAGCCCACTTTCCTGAGCCAGCTGTGCCTCTCTCGAGCCAGAAGCGGGACATCCCTGACTACCTGTGTGGGAAGATCAGTTTTGAGCTGATGAGAGAGCCCTGCATCACGCCCAGCGGGATCACCTACGACAGGAAGGACATTGAGGAGCATCTCCAGGTACTGCCAGGCCAGGGCCAGGGGATTTTCCCAGAACTTTGCTTGGGTGGGAAGGCACCTTTTTGCTCAACTCAGGGCTCTGCAGGTTCCTTGGGTTTGGTCCCAGTTACCTGCCCAGGCAGCTCCCTGTGGAGCAGGCGCTGCCGGGCCCTGCCCAAAGCGGAGGCGGCTCTTGGCTGGGGTCTTGCACCTTGACCTGCCCTCATCCTGCTGGGAGGCACCTCCGAGGGGCTCTCCCTCTTCCTGCAGGCAGGTGCCCACTTGCTGGGGCAGATGCCACATGGTGCTGGCCCCACAGCCACCTGCACCTCGGGGCTGAGCCTGGGCACGTGGAGTAACCGGTTCCTCTGCACCTCCTCCCTGCAGCGCGTGGGTCATTTTGACCCGGTGACGCGGAGTCCCCTGACCCAGGACCAGCTGATCCCCAACCTCGCCATGAAGGAGGTGATAGACGCGTTCATCTCGGAGAACGGCTGGGTGGAGGATTACTGAGGGGCCGGGGGCAGCGCTGGGTGCCCTGGCACAGCCGGCTCTGCCCGGGCTGGCACCATGCCTTACTCGTTCTCCGGCTGCTCCTCCTCCTCCCCAGCTGCCCCGGGCCTGGCGCTGGGCGAGGGCACGTCACCACGTCCCCTTCCCGAGGAGCCGCAGCAGCAGGGCGGGCACCGCGGCTCCCTGGCTCCCCTCTCTGGCTCCAACACCTGCCTGGGGGTTGGAATGCTGGCTCCTCGGCAGTGGCCTCACCATCATGTCCATCACCCCCTCAGCCAGGGCAGCCACACTCCCCAAAGAGCACGTCCCGCTCCAGGGATTGCCACAGGGAGCTTGCTGGGATGAGCACCTGGAGCCCCATCCTTCCCTGTGTTTAGAGTTCTCTCCTCCTCCTTCCACCTCCTGCCTGGCCAGGGTTGGGTCCTCTTCCCAGTAAACAGCCACTTGCCGGGATGCTGACGCACCCTCTGGCTTTTCCTGGGAAACAACTGTCCCAGGGCTGGAAGGGGCTGGTTCCCACCTCCCCTTTCCCACTGGAACTGTGCTTCCCTTAGAACAACCACCTGGTTAAAGTTCTTGTTCCTTTTAATGAAATCTCTTAAAATCCCCACAAGAAATAACCAACAGATTTGCATCCAACTGTGGTTCCAGCGTTTCGGTCGGCCGATGGCCTGCCTGGCTTTTGAATGCCCTCTGGAAGTTTGCCAATGTCCATTAAAAAAGAAAAAAGTAAATATATATATATAAAAAGAATAAAAAAAAATTCAGCAATAAACGTGGAAAAGGATCTGGAGTGGTTCACAGCAGCCATTTCTGGGGAGATCCTGGCTCGGGAATCCGTGCTATCCCATGGGGACCGGGTTTGCTCCAGGGATGTAGCAACACACAGTGTGCTTCAGTGGAACAACTTTAATCCAAAGGGGAGGGTAAAGACCAGTAAAAACCAGAACTTTCTCAGGCAGTTGGTCCCAATATCAGTTGCCTTTCCCTGAGGGTGGCAGGAGCTGGAGCTCCTGCCCTGGCTGGGATGGTGGTGATGTGTCCCAGCCCTAGCCCAGGAAGGTGGAGATGAAGACGCTGGTGTCCAGGTTGAGTGTGGCGTGCCACCAACGGTCAGGGAAGTACAGGACCTGCAGGAGACACCAGTGGGGTCCCATGGCTCTGGCTGGGAAGCCTGGGGTCCCCTGCAGCTCCTGGACTCACCTCCCCGGGGCGCAGGGTGCACTCCAGCGGGCGCTGGGCCGGTGGCAGGGTGGGATACGTGTGCTGGAGCCAGGCCAGCGTCGTCTCGTTGGGGTGGAAGTGCGGGGTTTTATCCGGTGGGTACAGAAACCAGCGCTGGAAAACACCAGGGGCACATCCCCTCCCAATTCCCCCCAGCCCCTCGGGCTCAGCCCCAGCAGGGCTTCCCCGTGCCCAGGGACACCTGTTAGGGGCTTGTTTCTCTCCCCTCTCCCCAGATCCTTCCCCTAGGGCTCAGTTCTCACCTTCCTGCCGAAAATCACCTCGGAGAAACCAGGGCCATGCCAGTGGAAGGGAACGCCAGAGCCTGAGCCTGCGGTGGGCGCAGGGTTTGGTGCTGGGGAGAGCCCCCAGGCCCGGCCCGATCCCATCCCGGGGGTCCCCATCCCACACCAGGGGTCCCATCCCACACCAGGGGTCCCATCCCACACCGGGGGTCCCCATCCCGCACCGGGGGTCCCCATCCCGCACCGGGGGTCCCCATCCCACACCGGGGGTCCCATCCCACACCGGGGGTCCCATCCCGCACCGGGGGTCCCATCCCGCACCGGGGGTCCCATCCCGCACCCACCTGCGATCCCAAAGCTGTAGGCGGGGCTGGTGCCCGGGATGCGGAAGGGAGGGGGCACGTAGTGCTGGAAGAGGGGGCCCCACTCGGTGAAGTTGTTGTCCCCGAAGAAGTAGAGGGTGTCTGGGGGGACACGGGAGCTGAGCCCGGCGAGGGCAGGGGGCTGCGGGGGACGGGACAGCGCTACCCACCGCTGCCCAGCCGGGCCGGGTCCTGCGGCTTCAGCAGCTGCTCCACGTACTCCTGGAACGGCACATCCACTGCGGGAACGGAGGGATGAGCGGGGGAAGCGGCGCCCCCGCGGCCGGGCACGGCCCCCGCGCTCACCTTT